ATCAACATTCCTTTGTGTCGGGGTTTGTTTTTCTTCCACATACATTGGGGGTTTCGTGGTATCTTTTCAAATTCAGACTGTTAATTACAAGGCGTACTACTATTTGTGAAGATTCCAATGTATGTACGACTAGATTAGTAACATATGGGTCTTTGTTTTGTTGAAAATGCAGCGTCACTAGTGATATGGAGAATTGAAATCCCATCAAAGTTTGGAAATGAGGAAGACATGATCTTTAAATTCGCGTTTCGATGATTTAAATTTTTACCAGTTATGAATGCCACATAGTAATTGCAATCGGGGAAAAAAAAATGAGAATGTAATTTTTTTCCTGAAAGTCAGGATGTGCTTTTGGAGTTGCTTATTTCAAGTTCGGCAATAAAATTTTGAAATAAATAATTAATAAATAAAAACAAATAAGCTAAATAAATAAGTAAAATAATTAATTAAAGAAATAAATGAAGTAAATAAACTAAATAAATAAATTATTTAACAAATAAATTATTAAATAAATAAATTATTTAAAAAAATAAATTATTAAATAAATGAATTATTAAATAAATAAATTATTAAATGAATAAATTAATTGAATAAATTAAATTGAATTAATAATTGAATTAGATTAAAAATTTTTGTTTAGCTTGAAATTTTAAAAAAAATGTGCATAAATGAATTAGTTAAATAAATAATTATAATAATTAGACTATAATATGGATGCTATATATATATAAGCTAAATAAATAAATGAAAAGCTAAATAAGAGAACGTTAGTTTTCGGCTGATTTTATCTCAAAGTTGATTTCTTCCACTGCGTGATTTAATTGAGTGAAAATATTTGCTTACAACGATAAAAGTATGTAAAAACATAATAAGAAAGTTGTAAAATGTTGGTAATTCAATAGCTTTCATGTCCAAGCATCTACAGAACTTGAATAAAAAACATTATTTATGAATTTTTTTTATTTTTCTGTTCATTTTAAAAGCACGTCTTTTATATTAAAAATGAAAAGCAGGTTCAAATGCAGGATAAAATGACAGGTTTCGCTCTGTTAACTGTGAGAAAAGAAGATTTTATCTTTTAAACAACATGGTTTGTTAAGTTATTGTGAAAACATTTAATATTTCGGTCTGTANTCATAATGTAATGGCTCTTCGGTATATATATATATATATATATATATATATACACGATAGCAGCACATACAATTTTAAATCCTGAGAATGAATAATTTTATTGGAAGCGATAAACGGAAAATAGAAAAAACTAAATCGAAACCAGCTGAGTAGTTATACTGATACAGAGAGTTCCAAATTAAATAAATGCAGAAATAAATTAAATAATATAAATGATGTAAAGGGGTTAGGGCAAAATAGTTGCAACACTGTTTCCAAAAGCTAAATTATTATTTTGAACTGTGTTCCTCATTATTGTTTCTAGATATGTACTTAACACGTTTCCAGAATTTCCACTCGGTAACAGCAGAATACGCAAAAACAACGTTTTGTCTAACATAAGCAAATAAATTAATGAATAGAAAGTTACGAGGAATTATTAAAAGTAATTTACTTTCGATGCTCTGATAAATAATTTCTTTAATCATAAATCATCTTTAATCGAAAGCAGAGATTTTATGTAGTATATAGTAACAAAAAATTCATTACCAATTAAAATTGAAAATTGTAGATGAAATAGCAATAATAACTGAGGAAATAGATAAGTTAAAATTTTATCAATGTAGAATCAGAGACTAAATTTGGGAAACCAAATTTAAGTTAATACAATAAAACATTTTGAAATCTTTTGAATCATTTTGAATTTTTTTAAACAATCTGTTAATCGTGTGACCGCAAAATCATTTGTAGCCAGGGTTCGCAGCGAGCAGGGACAAAGTGCCATTATTAAGTAAATATAAATCTGGAATTCCAAACTGAGATGAGTTTGAAAAAAATTTCGTCCGATTATATATTTAACACAAACTGTGATACCAGAAACCTGGTGGCTCAGGGGATTATTTATGTTACCAAGATTGATTTTTCGGAGTAAAAGCTGCAGCAGCACAATCTTCATGAATTAAAATTTGTCTGAGACATCAAATGCAGTCAGACAGGGATTATTATTGTGCAAAACTCAGTTTAATCTCTTACAAACATGTAGCGAAATTTTAAAATATAAAGCATTTTTACTTCAAACTTTATTGTATCTTATTTTATTCAATAATGTTGAAAAAAATGAAGGAAATAATATCTTACGCAGACATTAAGAAACAGAAAAAGAGACTTTATTCTTTTGTTCCTTGCGGTGTTCTCTTAATTCAAATTTTAATTCTTGTTATTAATAAATTTAGAAGGGTCGTGGTAGGTTCCAGGGTTCGATCCTCGACTCCGACTAGATCCCACCAAGTACGTGAGATATGCGAGGGCATAAATCTGTGGAAAATGTGTCATTATGTCCTGCGGTTGATCGCTGAGTATTACCATGGATACAGAGTTTTTGAGATAATTTTCTTCCCCTTCAGTTGTATGTCTAAATTTAGGATGTGGACTCAAGAATGAGTGGTGCTGCCATCTATCCGTAAGATTCAGAGCTAAAACATATTTTCATCTTTGCGGTGTTCTCTTGTCAAACAAAAGGTGCACCTTTCTGTCTTAATTCGCAGAAGGCAAATGGCCAGCAAGCGTTGCTTGTCGAAGAGTCATTCGAAACAATTACACAGGTCTAGAGTTGTTTCAAAAAATGAGTCTCAGCAAAACATCCCTTTTGTTCACTTGCTGTTTAAAAAGAAAAAAGAAAACTTAGAAAATAATAAGAAAACTTAGAAAAATAATCCACAGTGCTCTCGGTCGTGCTGAAAGGTTTCTGTTACCGAGATGATTATATGCAAGAGTATCGTTTATTTTACAGTCAAACTTCACCGTTTTCTGAGAGTGGCAGTTGAAATTTCATGTTATTGGTGAAAAAATAATTAATATTTAAACTTATGAAGCTTTATAAGCTTTATAAGGGATATTTAAGCTTATTAATATTCCCAGAACCGCTATGTTAATACAATAAGACATTAAAAATTTTCCCGATTAAAAAATAAGGTCATTGGTGAAAAGCTTTTAACGAGTTTTTTAAGTAACTTAAGATTCAAAAGGAAATTTAAAAAAAGTTTGAAAAAAAGTTATTGCAAATGGGAACCGAGCTATAAAACTGAGGAAATTGAAAATTAAATTTACGAAAATGAATCTGCTTTGATACAATACCACATTTGAACGGAAATTTTTGCATCTAAATTGCATTAAATCGGAGTTTTGGCATCTATTTTCTTAAGAACAAAAGTTTTGTATCTTAATTGCTTTTGAACAGATTTTTTGCATCTAAATTTTTAAGAGCGGAATTTTTGTATCTAAATTGTTTTTGAAAGGAGTTTCTGCATCTAAATTGTTTTAAAACGGAGGCTTTAGATCTAAATCACTGTTAATACATTGAATTTTTTTTAAGTAATCAAGGTCAATGCAATAAAAATAAAATTGAAAAAAAAAATAACTATCTTAGAGACCTACATATTATAGATTTAGTGTTTATACATCCCCTTAAGTAAAGAGAAACGTTAGAATTTAGGAAAGACAGGATCAGTTGGATTGGGCATCTTTCGCGTAAGTATTCTCTTTTCAAACTCTCTTATAATCTCATATACTTAATAAGATTTTTTAAAAATTCAAATAAAAATATCTTTAAAATGGTCTTTGAATTTCAATTTTTTTAACTTAAGTATTTATTTAAAAATATTAAATGGCGAACTGATTTTGAAAAAATGTTTAGTTTCCATATTTTTTTTAATATTTTTTTTATTTTTTATTTTTTTTTAACTTAGAAGCATCGTAATATTATATGCTATTTATAGTTATATTATTTTTCATAAAATTTAAAATTTTTTAATTTTAAAAAACAAATTGAATTTTAAGTAATTTTCAATTAGAATTAGAAAGGACTAGGTTTTATTATTTTTGATGCCAGGTTCATATATTATATTAATATTTAAACAATACTTTCTTTGTACAATTGTACGTAAAAAAAACCTCTGCTAAGGAATCCATTTTAAAATATTTATTTCATGTAAATTTTTCATAAAAATCAAATTTATTAAAAGCAAGTTTCATGTAATTCCTTACCAAACATAATTTGCACTTATTTTTAAGCTGTATTTTGTCTAAATAATAACATCCTTTTAGGAAATCCACTTTAAAATATTTATTTGATGTAAATTTTTCCTGTAAATGTTATTTTATGAGAAGTAAATCTTTTGAATATTTTTTCCAAATAAAATTTGTACCTTTTTTAAATACTTTATCCACATTAATATCTTTTTTAAGAAATCCATTATAAATTTAATTCAATATTAACTTATGCATTTAAATGATGATTAATATGCATATAATTACCGCGAGTATTTGTTCAACTTTATTCTAAAATTTTATTTATAAAAGAATTCGATCTAGTGTTTAGTTTGCAGATTTAGTGAATATCAGAATTATCGTTTAATAAATTTTTTTAAACAGTTTTTTAAGTAAATATTAAAATATTTTCAGTTATTTGTTTTGTAATTTAAATTTAATAAAATGAAGTTCAAAGAAAATAAATTAAAACCTAAAAAAATTAGAGCTAAACTTACGTAAAAAAATAGCCAATGTCTCTACAACATATCTAATATGATTAATTATACTTTTTACGTGAAGTACTGTACTTCTTAACTTAATTATGTGGATGAAATATTTATGATATTTTAGGAAAGCTAATCATGTAATAAAATTAAGAAACGTTAGATAAAAAAAGTTTTCATTTTTTAGATAAATAATTTAAAGGGAAATTTTAATAAATTAACATTTGAAATACAATTACTTAAAAATTAAGATATGAGTGTATTTTATGTAAATAAATAGAAAATAATGCTGCAATTTTGCTCGTTGAGTATCCATTATAAAGATTTATATTTTGTTTTTCAGCAATTACAGTGCTTCTTAGCTTAATTATTAGGATTTAATGCTTATGATGTTTTGGGAAAAGCAATTATGGAGATTGTCTTCGAGATTTGTCTTATTTGTCGTTTACTTCTCCCTATTCTTAGATAATATGCTTTTGACTATAGTAGGTAAGTAGAGCAATTTTTTTTCTGATAGTTAATATTTTAAAAGAATGAATAGCATTTCTTGAATAAAAGAAATATGTTTGAAAAGTTTCTTATAAAGTTTCTTAAACTCCTTATAAGGTCGTGGGAAGTATACTTCCCATCAAATGCATTAATTTTAAATATCTATTAAATAATATTAAATTACATTCGTGTAGCAGTAAAGGTTAGCGTGGGACCAAGAAAAGAGGCTGTCACTGGAGAGCTAACTTTTCTTGCGTGTTATGCAATCATTAATTTGATCATTTCTCGTCGCGTTCATTTGTATTTACACCGAAAAAAGAAGTGTGATAAAAACTACCGGAATTTGATAAATTTTTATCATGATTCTGGCTCCATGAGAGCATCTGAAAGCTCGGTTATTTTTACCGAAGCGCTTTGGTAATGATTTTGGTAAAATTATCAAAACAAATAGTTTTATAATATGTGATAAAATTTTTTAAACGTAGTAAAATTTGGTAATTTTAAATGATACCTTAGAGCATGACATTAAAACTTTTTATTGAAATAAATAAGCTTTTCAGTTTTGTATTTTTTACTAAATGTTGGTTTATAACAACTGTAAATTCGAAAAACTGAATTCCCGTATTAACATGAATTCTCACGGTCTTCCTCACCATATAATGCAAATGCGGGTTAGCTCTATCAAAAAAGTCCTACACGAAGACTAATTTCTCCCAATACTCGATCCAGGAGTTCCCTCGTCTTCTGGATCGGATTCAAATTACAGGGCTACGGAGATGAACATTGGTAGTAGTAAACCCATAAAATTGGGTCGGTTGTTCAACGATGGGTTATGTATATAAAAAAATGCTCCGTGTTTACATGGTACAGTAAAAATTGTCTTAAATTCTAGAAATGTTTTTAACTAAGTTAAAATTAAACATTTTTATTTATTTTTTTCAAGTTCCCATAATGCCAGATGTCCTATACCATATACAATCTGAAGAGAACAAGAAGCAGCAACTTGAAGATGATACGTATTCTTTTAAGAATTCTTCAACAAATCAAATTAGTAGTGAAAATGAAGAAATTGGAATCCTATTTGCATCCAAAGCAATAGTTCAGTTATTAATGAATCCTATTGTGGGACCCTTGACAAACAGGTAACATAACTTATGTTCGGTTATGCCGTCGTACGCTGCTAGGAGCGCTTCTCTACTATGGAATGGCTAGTCATGCGAATTTAAACCCATGCTTTAATCTTTAAGCTATCCTAATGTCATTTTATGTTTACAAGCATTTCTTGCCAAAAATATCATTCAAATAGTTAAAGAAATAGCTGTTTTATCTTAATTTACTCATTTGGCAACCACTGCAAATCAGTTGCCAAATTAATAAATTCCCTAAAACAGTTATTTCTGGGCCTATTTGAATTCTGTTTTGAGCAACAGTTACAATAAGGCTGCTACAGCTAAATTTATTGGAATCTAATTTTAGAAAATTTATTAGAAAACATAAAATTATAATAAATAATAGTTCAAATGCACATGAAGAAGCAGTCCATAATAGGGAAGCGTACCTATCGGCGTATCATGGCATTGCTTGTCATGGGTAGCTATGCAATTTTCCATTATTATGTGTACTCCAATATATCAATATTTATTGAACACTTTGCTAACCAATTTAATCGCGAATTTTTTTTCCACTTAAATAATTCAAAAGATTTTTATAATAAAAAGTGGTGAATTATAAAAGCCTGCGAATTGTTTAGAAATAGTGGTGGATAAAAATCTACGAAATTGAATTTATTAAAATAGCCGGAGAGAAATTCAATAAGTATAACTATAAGTATACTCAATAAGTGGTAAAGAAATTCAATAGCCGGAGGAGAACAGTTATATACTTATAGTTCATATCTTATTACTATAAGATAGTGAATGTTTTTTCTTTTTAATTTTGCTCTCAGATCAAATTTAACTTACGACTCTTTCAACTATATAGTCATAACGTGTTAACAGTTTGAAAACTACTGCGTTCGCAAATTTCCTCGTTGGATGATACAAAAGCTATTACTATGCTAATTTGTATCTCTCTATTTTGTATGAAACTGTCCTGTATGTATTCGGAAATTAGAGCACCAAGACGCTTCAATAACAAGGAGGGTATTAAAGGTATTTCCCATCAAAAAATCAAATAAACATGTTGCTGATTTCATCTGTGTTTCTTTTAAAAAAATTAAATAAATAAATATAAGGGAGAATATGAAGTTTTGTAAGTATGCGGAATGGCCAGACAAAATTTGTGAAAATCTTAGGCACAACGACCTCGCATGACCTCCCATCCCGTCACCCCTGGTTAAAAGTAGCAAAAACAATATTTAATTTCAATATAGGATGAGTATGTAGGTGTTACTTTTTACTCATCCTAGTAGGCTTTGGCACAATTCAAATAAAAAAGTAATCAAAGAAGTATACAAAATTATCTACCAGCTACTAATTTAAAATAAATATTACATATAATTTAAAATTTCTAGTACGCTCACTTAAGTTAATACAAATAAAAATTTAAAACAGCTAACAATCAATTATAATGTGGTTGTTAGTTGTTATAAAAAAAGAAATTACTTTCTTAACACGTGGAGCGCCGCGTCAGCAATCGGTGGCTTAATACTGGACTTTCCACTTAGGCAGCGTCAGCCACCGGTGACTGACACTGAAATTACATTTAGGCTTCGTCAACCACCGGTGGCTGACACTGAAATTACATTTAGGCAGCGTCTGAAACCGCTTGTTGACACTGACCTTTCCCATAGGCCGCGAAAAACAGCTGGCTGACAGCGTATAACATGATATGAAATTATAAAATTTACACTCTTTTATGGAATTGCGGAACATTTATTCAAAATTTACTTAATTATTGTGATTCTTGGTATTCAATTTGCTAGGTTTTTATCCACCACTATTTCTAAACAATTCATAGGCTTATATAATTCACCACTTTTTCCAGATATGTCATGCTAAACCTTTTAAAAACTAGCAAAATCTGTCTAATGTTTGCAAATTTAGTTTGTAGTTATTTACCGTTGTGGCCTGACGAGTAAGACATGTAAAGTAAAATTAGTGTGGCGCTCAACGTGTTAAGCTTGTACTCTTATAACATGAAAACATAGGACAACACAGATGCGACGAATCAGTTAGTGGCTCCTGAGCATATATGGCAGTACTTCTACTTTCGTTACTTGTACCACTGGTACAAGTAAAAAGTACGTACTTTTACTTGTACTTCGTTACTTTTTAAATTTAGTACTTTTGCTTGTACTTTCGTTACTTTTTTAGGGAAAAAGTACAAGTACAGGGTTCCCGCGGTCCTTGAAAAATTTAAAAAGTGGTAGTAAATTTAGGGTGGAGCTACAATTTTTTTTTTGTTTTAATATGCTTTTTCATCGTAAAGTGCTGAGATTTTCGTGAATATATATATTTTTTAGAAAACATCTTTTAGTGGTGGCTACACAGAAATAAAAATGTCAAAATTTCTTTTATTTTTATTACCGCTTTTTAAAATTCTCAAGGACCGTGGGAACCCTGAAGTATTTGTAACGGAAATGTTGAATGAAATCGTTACTTTTTTCTAAAACTAGGTAAGCTTTCTAAAAAAAGAAAAAAAAATGCTTTCGGAATGCAATTATTTTGTAAAATGAATAAAAATATTGATTAGCAAGTTATTTTCATTCATTTTCGAGTGTTATGCATTTGTTTAATAAATTTTAAATAAAAAATTTAGGATTTTGTTATTACGTTTTTCAATTTTCTTTTTGAACTCATTTTCATTTTTGTCTTAATACATTTTTTACTAAATACATTTTTACCTAGTACATTTTTTACCAAAATTATGTTTATGCCCGACCTTGTCAAACAACGCCCAGTCAAATCTCTAAGAACTTCAGAACTATTTGTGCTATTGAAAACTATTATAATTACTATTTTAACTCTTGAAAACTCGAAGGTATTAATTTAGCCACTGATACTAAAATTCGTTTACAAATTATAATTATTCCGTTAGGCAGAAATGTTAGGAAAATGATTTTCTCGCATGACTTCAGCATTAGCCATTGTTATAAATAAAACTGTAGACTGTTTAGTTTCAACTTATACTGCACATTCAATTATTTTTTACTAGCTCAAAGATCACAAAGCTATCTGAAGCTGTTTGCTTTGTTTATGTTTGTGCTTTTAAAACGCGTTTCTATAGAGTAAAACAATTTTAAATCAATGGTAATTTAAATAAATAAAAATAATAAACTAAAAATTAAAATCAATAGATAAAATTTCTTTTTCGTGCAAATCCATAAAAAGTTTGATATTAAAATTATATTTGATTTTAAAATTATATTATACGATTATATTATAAAATTATATTATAATATTCTTCCGAATTTAAAAATAAATTAATGTCCATAACTTTCAAAATTAAAAATAATTAAATAAATAACAACAATTTTGCAAAAACATTAAAGAACATAAGAATATTATTCAATAAAATTTTAGGTTACTTTGAATTTTCGATTTCCTAGAAATGTACTTTTAAATCGTTACTTTTTTTGCTTAGTACTTGTACTTTTACTTGTACTTTTTACTCGTTTCTTTTCAAAGTAAGAACTTTTTACTCGTTATTTTTTTAAAAATACTTGTACTTTTACTCGTTACTTTTTAAAAGTAACGTTGCCATATATGCTCCTGAGCTATCCAAAATATGCAGCGTCCAGATAATTATCCTAGATTCCTTGTTCCGTCATAGAATATTCTACTATCCAAGAGCGTAAGAGAGAAGTTAATATTACTTCAACTTTTCGCTCATGATAGTGAAGGAGATCCCATTTCTAATTCTGATGCAATTTGAGGGATTCAAATTTAATTTATTAATTAGATATGCCTCTAGGTTGGGGTAGGATGATACCACAATTACAATTTTTCACTTTTTCCCCACAATTTTTCACTTTTTCCGAGACTACTAAATAATCAAAAGATTATAAATAATCTAAGAAGTGGTGGTTCATTTTTATCAATTTAATAAACAGGTATGAAGAATTCATCAATTTTTCTTTTTGAATTTCGTTTAGGAAACGCATTTTATTAGTCTCAAAAATTGAAAAAATAATTAAAAAAGTTATTAAAATTATGCTTTTAAAACTTCATAAGTGGACTTAATTCTTAAAACGTCACTTTCTTAATTGTTTGAATAGGATTTATGAATTATTAAAAAAAATACAGGGAATCAATGCGTCTCATATTACTTTTTAAATAATGTATTTTATAATTGACACTTGAACTTAATAAGTGGGCTTAATTCTTAAAGCGTCACTTTCTTAATTGTTTGAATAGGATTTATGAATTATTAAAAAAAAATATAGGGAATCAATGTGTCTCACATTACTTTTTAAATAATGCATTTTATAATTGACACTAGAACTTAATAAGTGGGCTTAATTCTTAAAACGTCAGTTTCTTAATTGTTTGTATAGGATTTATGAATTATTAAAAAAAAAAAGAAAAATACAGGGAATCAATGTGTCTCACATTACTTTTTAAATAATGTATTTTATAATTTACACTTGAACTTAATAAGTGGGCTTAATTCTTAAAACGTCACTTTCTTAATTGTTTGAATAGGATTTATGAATTATTAAAAAAAAAAAAAAAACATAGGGAATTAATGTGTTTCACATTACTTTTTAAATGATGTATTTTATAATTGACACTTTGTTCAAAACGGAACATGATATGCATTAAAACTACCTATCAAAATGGAATCAATTACACAAGAGGTGTTGGTTGTTTAGTTTTTGTCAAAAACAGAGCACTTAAAAATTTAATCACTGTTGAGATTCAACGTCTGAATTCATTAAAAAGTTAAACGAATTAGTGAATCGTTCAATTTTAAAAAAATAGTGCGTGGAGTCCCTCCGCGCGGAAGAAGTTAAACTTTGCAACCTGTGACGTTAATTGTAGAAGAATCAGCAGTCGTAGAAGGATCACTAGTTCTATTCAACGACAATTTCTCCTGCTCCGCTCGCTTCCGTGCTCTGTAATCACAGTAATATTGTGCATTTTCCCCTCTTGAACCAGTGGAAGTGCTTGTGGTTGCCTCATCGTCTCGCACTGAAAAA